TCTGCTAATATCACATACTTTTGATTACTGTCACAATTTAATAAGTCTTGAAATCTGGTAAAGAGATTCTTCCCACTTTTTAAAAGAAGAGAAATACTTTTTCAACATTGTTTAAGCTACTCTACTTCCTTTGGCTTTCCATATAAACTTTAGAATCATCTTGTGTATAATTCCAACAATGTTGCTGGGATTCTGACAGGAATTACACTAAACCTGTGTATCAGTGTGGGGAAAATTAACATCTTTACTATGTTGTGTTTTCCAATCCATGAACATGGTGTATATGTCCATTTTTTAGATCTTCTTTGATGTCTTTCATCAGCATTTTGTAGTTCTGCCTCCAAATCCTGTACAATATTTTTTAGATTTACACTAAAGTATTCCTGTTTTAACAACTGTAAATGGTATTGCATTTAAAATTATGATTTCCATGTGCTCACTGCTAGTATAAAAATACGATTGATTTTTGCATGTACTTTATTTTTATCCAGTATTTAGCCCCCAAATTAGTATTATTAGTTTTATGCAGTCATCAGTGCTTGTTTAGTTACCCAAATGTTTATCACTGTCTTTATTCCCCATTCTTTGAATCAATTTCCTCCCATTCTCTTTTCTTCTTCTGAAAGAACATCTTTTAAAAGTTCTATCCGTAGTCCTTTTCTTATAAACTTTCTATTATTTAAAAAAGATTCTCTTTTGCCTTTAGCCTTGAGTTTCCCTGTGTAGAAAATCCCAAATTGCACTTCTCTCCAACTTTGATATTATTCCATCATCTTTTGACCTTTGGTGGTGTTTTTCTCTAGTCTACTGTGTGACAGTTTAAGTAGGTTCTTTTCCTCTGGTTGCTATTAAGATCTTTTTCTATGGTGTGCTTTTTTGTTTTCCACTATGATGTAGCTCAGTGGAGATTTCATTTATTCTACTAGTAACTCATTTCTGCTTCCTGAACTTGAGGTTTCTTACCTTTCCTCAAGTCTAGACACGTCAGCCATTTTACCATCAGGTATTTCTTCTCTCCCATTCTGTTCTCTCCTTCTGTAACTTTCATTAAACTTTACATTGGACCTCTTCATTTTATTGTTCTAGCCTCTTACCCTCCCTTCTGCTTACTGGGGTCTCCTTCAGAGTAAATTCCTCAGAGCTATCTTTCAAATCTGTTGTGTCTAATACACAGTTTAACTCATCCATTTGAATCTTTTTTATAAGTCATATATTAACATGATCCAAAATCTGAAGAATGGGTACAGGGTTTACATTTGGGAAGATTAAAGTTCTGGAGATGGATGATGGTGATGGTTGCACAATGCAAATATACTTAATGCCACTGAACTGTACACTTAAAAATGGTTAAAATTGTAATTTTGTTATGTATATTCTAACACAAAAAAAATCTGAATAAAGAATGTATCCCAACGGCGGGCTTGCTCCCTCCCACTCCTGTCCTCACCCACATTCCTTCCCCATCCATGCTGTATAGATAACCACTTTTATTAGATTCTTCAGTAATCCTTTTAGTGTTAATGCAATACAGCCAAGTCAAATATATGGTTTCATTTCCTCCACTTCTTTCAGTTTTTCATTTTTTTCATCTGATAATGTATCCTGAATCATTTCCAAACGAATATAGTGCCTCTTCATCTTTTTTATAGCTGCCTAATATTCCATTGTATTTAATAGTTTATTTAGTGGGTCCACTTTTATTTGCTATTTGGGTTTTATAAAATATCATGCTGCCATAAATAACACTTCTCCAGGTTTTCGAATGGCTAGCTTTCATTTCTAGAACTTTTTCAAATCTGCATTTTATTACTGTTACATGCTTTTTTTCATTTATTTACCTTTTGTCTTTGATTATTTTAATATTCTCATAATCTAAAAATTCTGTTTCTTAAAGTTTCTGGGAGTCTAATCATCCTTTGTGTCATCTGGTATGCATTTGTAGTAGGTAAACCGTTACCTCACATGGTTTGTAATTTGGGGGCACTGAGCTCACTTTTGATAAGGCTAAATTTATGCAACGTCAAAATTTAAATTCTGAGGATGTCATTTTCCATAAAGAATCTGTGTTTGCCTCTTCCAGGGGCCTGAGGAGCAGAGCCAGTTCAGGGAGATTTTTGACATTAACATAAAGGTCTGTGTTGCTAGACCAAATAAATAGTATAAATTCAAAATCTAAACACCTGGAGACAAGCTTCTGGTTAAAACATTTCCAGGGAAGGTTCCCTGCCTCTCCCAAGCCAGAGCTCAGGCCAAAGCAGAGATGCTTCCCTTCACTTCTCTGTGCTGGTTAGATTATTTTTTGTCCTAGTTCAAGGGTCCTGGCTTTATAATGAATTATTTACTCATCAAAACCCCAATGGGAAGTGTGCTACATGGGTTTTTAGTTTCCTTTTAGTTCCCTCTAGTCACTGGAGATTGCAATTTTTTTTATGATGAGCTGATTTTTATTAATATCATAGTTTTACTCAGCCATTTCTAGGTGTTCTGTATTATATGAAATATACATTTTTTGTGTGTGCCCACTGGGGCACAGAGCAAGGCACTGAAGACCATGGAATTAGTCAGACCTTTCTAATCAGGGGAAAACATTTCTTACCTTGTTAGACATCAGTTTCCTCTTCTATAAAATGGAGATAAGGTGGTGACAGGATTATATGGATAAACGATATAAAATGCTTAGTATAGTGCCTGGAATATATTAAACATTTAACAAATTACATTTTTACTTTTTAGTAATTTCTACAAAATAAAATCATACTTGTTAGGAGGGTTTAAAAGTATATCTGCTTTTAAAAGGTGGCAGTAAGACTGAGTGCAGCAGCAGACAAATTTTGAATTTATTTACATATACACTCAACTATTATTATCTGTTGGTACATAGATAGTAACAGCACCAAGCTCTGACCACATTTAATTATGAACACAATATTTTCAAAAAGATGATGAAATAAAGATTATCATATGAAATAAGGTGCTGCTGTGGTGGATAATCTAAAAAAAAAAGGGTTGAAGTTAGAGACGTTATTTTTGGTACAGAACTTTCTTACCATCAGGACTGTCTACACATAGAACAAGCAGACTCAAAAGAGCTGGTCACTTTAATAAACTGAAGGACTGCTTAATAGAACAGAAAGGGTTCCTGTATTGGTAAAAGTCATAAGTCAATGGTGAAATAGGAAGAAAAAACTATGTGGATAACTGATTTATGACACTAATTTAAAAAATCCCAATGAATACTACATTAAAGACAAAAGGAAAACACCAATTAAAACTTTTAAAACAGGTTAGAGACACTGAAAACCAAATTTGGGAAATCATTTCTTAGTAGATTAAAATTGAATAACATTAGATTATTTCCCATGCCTGGTTCCATTCTAAACCAACCACACCATCATCAAAATCTCTCCATATGTCTACCCTTGTGATTATTTTGTTATTTTTAACAAAATAACAGAAATTATTTTTATTACAGACATTCATTCAAGGTAAACTCAAATGTTAAAATAATACTAAAAAAAAAAGTCACAGAAAAGTCAGAATTAAGTTTTATTTCACATTGATAGAAACCATGAAAAACATTACATTTTCCCATGTCACAGCACAACATTTCAACGGAATATTTCTTGCCATAAATAAGATCTTGCTGATTGTGTAACTGAAACAACAGTTTATGTTCTTCAAGGTAAAGCAAAATGACTTAGCAAATGATTGTTTACAATTTTAAATCCAGACATAAACATATGGCTTCATTATTGACATCCTATATAGTCCATTACTAAATTATTTCCATTATCAGGTAGCACCCAGTTATAAAGATGCATTCTTAACATTTTTTGGTCAATGAGAATACAGCAGAAAAATTAACAGTTCAGAAATATGGAGCATATATTTTTGCTAAACTGCATGGTAATCACATCATACATCACACATGTGACTAACCTTTATTACTCACAAATTTGTTTTCAAATAATTTTTACTAGTAACCTAGAAATTTTGACTATTTAAAATCAAATGATTGCTATTTTTATATTCACACAAAAAACTAATTTTAAAAGAAATATCACTGACTAAAGTGAAAATTTCAAATAAGTCCATTGGCAGATAAAAATAAAGCAAATTTTTTAATGGATTGCTCATTTTCATTTTTACATTATTATTTATTTTCACTAAACATCCTACAATGCATGATTGCTCGTTTTCCACAGTAGTTGGTTTCAAACATATGTACAAAATAAGTAAACTTAAACTCTGTGCTACAAGGAGACCAAATCATCTTAAAAATTAGTTTTTAAGATCAGTCTTAAACACTGCAGAACATACCAGAATATAATCATTCTTTCAGTTGCTTACAGAAAAAATAAAACCACAGAATTATTCTTGTTATGGGGATTTAATTGTCTATTAACTAAATAGATTTAAATTTGGACTACAGTATAGCTGTTTGAAATAAGTAGTGCAGAAAGTTTTAAGCAATGTATGGTTTCTTTATAAAGTATAGATTTTGATACCTTATATCTGTGAATCAGAATGTGATTTATGACACATTTCTGTGATATATTGTGATATATTGACAGTAGATGTCTATGGCAGGGAGGCAATATTTAGTCGGCTATGAAGTACAATAAAGAAAGAACATTTTTTTCTTGAGAGGAGAAAAGAATATTAAATAGAAATGATGTCAGGGAAAAGAAAAGCCTGGTCCCAAAATAAAAGGGTCACTGATTAAAGAGAGCCATATTACTCTTTATTGACATTAAAAAGCATTATCCCTATTATTAGGGATAATCTAATACCACCCTCATTCTATGTATTACAATCATTATGTATATAGGAATACACATATAAAAATGCAGACACTGCATGGTGACTCAGCAATTTGGGAATTAATCCATAGACTAAGTCACAGCATGCATAAATCATTTATATCTTAACTGCTTGTTTATACCTGAACAAATTTTCATTAAGCATACTAGTAGTTTTCAAATGATGTAATAAAAAAATCTGGTTGTAGTATTTTTTATTTTGCTGAATTACATTTGAGAAAAAAGAAGCTAGCTGCTTCACCTTAATACTAGTAATATTCTGGATCATAAGAATACATGTATAGAAATTTAAAAGATCATAAATTTCCCATGAGGAGACATTATTTAGTCTGTGTCATTGGCGTGTATTTGCAAAACATTTTAACACTGCAAACATCAGAGGTTTGGAGACTGGGCACGGGAAAAGGTTTATACTCTATTACAATGATGCTGGTGTACTTCTTACCAAGGCCTCTTAGTGACGTCAATCAATTGGAGGTAGGAGTTTTTCAATGAATTGCTTGACATCCATCATTTCCTGTTTGGAATAAAGTGGCTTAATAAGCAGTTATATAAATCAGAAATTAAATCCCCACTAAAATGCCACTAACCTAATCCATGGGGTACACAGGGAAGGTGAAAACCATATTTTTAATACTACAATTAAATAAAAAGACATTAAAAAAGAAATGAGTCTGAATAGAAATCTCAGAACACTTCCTATGATGATATTATTATCATGCATTGAAATGATAGCTCCCATCTACTATCTAGTTCCTTAGAAATGGTCTGCATTTTCCTATACTTAAAACACTGGGACACAGGTTGGTTTAGAAGTGACAGAACCTATACCAAGAAGTCTCAGTAAACATACAATTACTGACAACAAAATATCTGTGAAAAAGCCAAGCTTTTATCATTCCCTCATTTGAATGAAATGCTAAAGGACTGTGTGTTTTTAATAACATCCAAGCAACAACTTGAGAGAGCATGTACCTAAAATGTGTCTGGAAAGATCTGAACATTAATATATCAAAAATCTATCGGCCAGGCGCGGTAGCTCACGCCTGTAATCCTAGCACTCTGGAGGACTGAGGCGGCAGATTGCTTCAGAGTCAGGAGTTCGAAACCAGCTGAGCAAGAGCGAGACCCGTCTCTACTATAAATAGAAGGAAATTAATTGGCCAACTAATATAATATATATGAAAAATTAGCTGGCATGGTGGCATGCCTGTATTCCCAGCTACGCTCGGGAGGCTGAGGCAGTAGGAATGCTTGAGCCCAGGAGTTTGAGGTTGCTGTTGAGCTAGGCTGACACCACGTACACACTCTAGTCTGGGCAACAAAGTAAGATCCTTTCAAAAAAAAGAAAGAAAGAAAGAAGAAGAAGCAAAAGAAGAAAGAAAGAAGAAGAGGAGAAAGGAAAAAAAGGGAAAGAGGAAAGAGAAGAGAGGAGGAGGAGAAGAGAGGAAGAGGAAGAAAGAAGAAGAAAAGAAAGAAAGAAAGACAGACAGAAAGAAAGAAAGAAAATCTATCATAGAAGAAACTTTCTCCTAGAAGCCTCCTGCACTTAGCTCAGATTTCTCACCTCCTTCAAACTCACTTTCTGTTACCAGCTCTTGTATTTCAAGGCTTTCGCCTCACAGTTCCAAAACTTAGGAATGCGGCAAGCCTTCAATCTTTTCATTTAGTCACTCAGAAAAGAGCCACAGCATGAAAGTGTTCTATTGCACAACACCCTGAAGTCCTAAACAGTTTCCTATGATACCACCTCCTGCTGTCCTCTCTCCTCACCTTCTGTTCCTGTTCATTCAGTCCAGTGGCCTCCAGTGTGACTACATAAAGACTTGTGTACAGAGCCTTTATGAAGCTCTGTTAAAAGCCCAGACTTCGTTGTTATACAATTCAGCCATGTAACAAAAAAACACTTGTACCCCTTAAAACCTATTTAAATAAAAAAATAAATTTTTTAAAAAAGAAGACTTCCTACTCTTCTCCCACTTTATCAAAATCCTTTCAAAAGGTCTATACACGCTGCCTCTACTTCTTCCTTTCCCTATCCACCTCACAGTCCATTACAGTTTGGCGCTATCCCAAACATCAAGGTTATAGGTGGCTTAAATTAGACAGTTCTTCCTGCCTATTTCTCCTTAATCCTTCTCTGAAATACATGACATTGCTCCTTCCCACTCTGAAATTCTCTCTCCCATACTCTCAATACCTAACTTCTTTTCTTCTTAGCCTAAATCTTAACGTTCTCCAAAGTTCTATCCCTCAGTTTTCTTCTCATGATATTCTCCCAAGGTCATGTTTTTTAGAGACGAGGTCTTGCTATTGCCCAGGCTGGATTCAAACTCCAGGCTCAAGAGGTCTTCCTGCTTCAGCCTCCTGTGCTAAGATAATTCTCCATTGATAACAATATTAGTAATTATTCAAATCTCCACTTTCAGGCTTAAGCTTCAGAGAAGTATTTCCAACATTTCTTTGATATCATGGGATAGGTCAATTCAATACATCACTAAACTCGTATTATCACCTTCCTTTACTCCAAAATTCTTGTAGGAATTTTATTTACCTACTTTATGGTAGCATCTTCTTAGTCATCTGAGTTAGAAATCCGAGGCCACTTTGATACTTCCTTCTTTCCTATCCCATAGAATTAATCTCTAAATCCTACTCAATTCTGCCTCACCTGTCTCTAGAATATAGATTAGACCACTTATCACTTGGATCAAAAAATTAATGGCTTCCTGCTGCCTAGAGAAGAAGGCCTCACAGAATGACATAAAGCTCTCAACGATCGAGTCTCTGCTCCTATGTCTTCTGTCCTGTGACACTCGGCTTTTTGTAAGACTCTAGGCAAACGGACAGCTTGCCTTTCTGTTTAACAGTTCTTTCCCTGTACACTTGATATCCAAATCCACCATCTTCAAAATCTAGCTCTTTCACCATGATCTCAGTGCCTCATAAATTAATCTCACTCTCTTCAGTTTTCCAGGCACTTTTTGAAAACTTCTAATATAACACATATCACATTCTATGTTCCATACAGTTACCTGGATATGCATCTTCTCCCCTATTACATTTTTTTTTTATTTGCGGCATATTATGGGGTACAGATTTTAAGGTTCCCCTATTACATTTTAATTTATTTTAAATTTTAACAAAGGGAATGTTTATTGTTTATCTTTAAATTATGTACAGTGCTTATATGTAACAGGTAATCAGTAGATATTTAAATTAAATGAACTTTATCTAATGACCTGCTAACGTATGATTAATATAAATTCATTAATTAACTACTCTCTAAATCCCAAGCAGTCAATGTTATTTATCTTGAACATATCACATGAAAGAAGCTACAACTATGGCTGTGATCAGTGATTCCAACACCTACCTGCTGAGATGAACTGTGCATCATGCCTTCATAGGTTTTAAAGGTTACATTAGCTGGATTTACCAATGTTTTTAGTTTTCAGCAGTAAGAGAACCAAGTCATGGGAACTAAGGTCGGAATCTCCATGGCACTGGAGAATAGAAATATCTCTGTTAGGGCCACTGATAGGACCCTGCAAAAAACAACAAAAAGTAGTATTATTTATTCAAATGTATAAAGCATAATGCCAGGCATTCATTCATTCATTTATGAGAGAGGTCTTGCTCTGTTGCCTAGCTACAGTGCAGTGGCATCACCATGGCTCACTAGAACCTCAAACTCCTGGGCTCAAGTGATCCTCCAGCCTCATCCTTCCAAGTAGGTAGGACTATAGGCGCACCCCCTGGTGTCTGGCTAAATTTTTCCTTTTTAATTTTTTTGTAGAGATGAGGAGTCTCACTTTGTTGGCTCAGGTTGGTCTCAAACTCCTAGCCTCAAGTGATCCTACTACCTTGGCTCCCAAAGTGCTGGGATTACAGGCATGAGCCAACACACCTGGCCTAAATTATTTCTATGTTTTAAAAATTCTAGAAGAAAATGTGGAAAAACTCATAGACCTCGGCCTAGGCAAAGAATTTATGAAGAGACCCCCAAAGCAATCACAGCAACAACAAAAAATAAATAATAGCACCTGATCAAATTAAAAACTTCTGCACAGCCAAGGAAACAATCAATAGAGTGAATAGAAAACCTAAAGAATGGGAGAAATATTCACATGCTACACATCCAGTAAAGGGCTGATAACTGAATCTACAAAGAAATTCAAGTAAATCAGCAAGAAAAAAACAAAACCCATTAAAAAGTGGGCAAAAGACATGAAACAGAAAAAACTTTTCAAAAGAAGACAGACTAATGGCCAACAAACATGAAAAAATGCTCAGTGTCTCTAAATCATCAGGGAAATGCAAATCAAACCACAATGAAATATCACCTAAATACAGTGAGAATGGCTTCTATCAAAAATTCCAAAACAACAAATGCTGGTGTGGATGCTTAAAAACACTGTTGGTGGGACTGCAGACTGAGTACAACCTCTATGGAAAGTTGTATGGAGATACTCAAAGAAAAAGTAGATCTACCATTTGATCCAGCAATTCCCTACTGGGTATTTACCCAAAGGAAAAAAAGGACATTTTATAAGAAAAGAACTTGCACCCGTTCATAATTGTAAAGATGTGGAAATAACCCAAGTGCCCATCAATACATGAGTGGATTAGTAAAATGTGGTATCTGTGTACAATGGAGTACTACTCAGCCATAAAAAAACCACCAAAAACAGTGATATCTCTTTTATTAACCTGGATGGAACTGGAGATCATTCTTCTAGGTGAAGTATCATAAGAATGGAAAAACAAACACACTGTACTCACCATTAAATTGGAACTAATTGAATAACACTTATGTGCACATATGGAAATACATTAACTGGAAATTAAGCGGAGGGTGGGGTGGGTAGAAGAAGGGAAGAGAAATCACACCTAACGGGTACAATGCACACTATCTGGGTGAGGGGCACATTTATAACTTTGACTCAAACTTTACAAAAGCAATTTATGCAATGAACATCTATACCCCCATAATACTGTGAAATAAAGTAAATAAAAAAAAAAAGAAAAAATAGTACTAATTTTCTTATCTATCTAAAATACATCAAACCTGCAAATATAGATTTATGACAGTAAGGCTTATTCTTACCCATATATGTAATCCACAATAAAGAGAACAGTGCACAGATAAACCTAGTAAACATCACAAAAGTTTAAGGACATGGCTGTAAGCCTAGCACCTTGGGAGGGTGAGCAGGAGATCATTGAGGCCAGGATTTGAGGTTAAAGTGAGCTATGATGACGTCACTGACTCTAGCCCAAGCAACACAGCAAGATACTTCTCAAAAACATCTAAGTTTCAGTGTACACATTAGCATGTGAGGAAACAAAAACAAAAGAAATAAGAAAAAAAAAAAGACAAAAAACATATAAGGCCGGACCAGGCATGTGGCTCACGCTGTAAACCTAGCACTCGGGAGGCCGAGACATATCGCTCAAGGTCAGGATTCGAAACCAGCTTGACAAGAGCGAGACCCCATTCTACTAAAATAGAAAGACATTATGGTCAACTAAATAAGTATAGAAAAATTCCGTGCATGGTGGGCAACATGCCTATAGTCCAGCTACTCAGGAGGCTGAGGCAGAAGATTGCTTGAGCCAGGAATTTGAGGTTGCTGTGAGCCAGGCTGATGCCATGGCATCACTGTAGCCTGGGCAACAGAGTAAGATCTGTCTAATAATAATAATAATAATTAAAAAATCTAAGGAAATTCTTTTAACAAAGGATGACTGCTGTAAACTATGAACTTTGGGTGATTACGATGTGTCAGTGTAGGTTCACCGACTATAACAAAGTGCTACTGGGCTTGGGCAATGTCAAAAGTGGGAGGCTGTCCTGTGTGAGGACGGGATATGTGGGAACTGTGTATTTTCTGCTCCCAATATGTTGTGAGACTAAAGCTGCTGTAAAAATAAAGTTTATTGATTTATAAAAAAGGATGACGTAACACATCTGCTACCTCTTAGCTCAGCATTTCTCATGGTTACATGCATCAAGCAGGCTACCTGAAATGAGGCCCGAAGTGGAGCAGCCAACTGAGTGCAGTGACACCCGCCAGTTTCTGCTGGGTGGTAAGAGCGGATATAAAGACAAAGCTCCTCCCTGAAAAACAAGCAGGGAAAGTCAGTGGAACAGACACAACAGCAACTTATGAGATTTCTTGTTATTAATGATGATCCATTAAAAAAAAAATCAAACTCAGTGGCTGATGAAACAAAGCACGCAAATAGCAGAAATTCATACACACACCACTGTGTACTAAAGGACATGGTTCTTTACACAAAAGACTATACCCGACTGGTAGAGACATAGTTCCAGGCACACTAAACTGTTGCGTTTATAATGTGCCTTAGGGATACTTCTGAATTTATAGTTATTTTGCTCTTCTACAAAGTTTTGCTAAAATCCAATGTCATCTTAAGTTGGTATTATTTTCTAATACAGGAATTCAAGATAGTAAGGACTAAGAAGCAGACACCTTTAGATTTCTGCCTTCCCAGCTCATAAGACCCTGTGTTCTGGGAACTATTATCCTGCCAGCCATCCAGACCCCGTCACTCTGACTTGTGCCTATGGGTCAATGCACCCACCGGGGACATAAGATTCTTTCTTGCCAGATAGTGATATTCTTTTCTCCCAGCATGTGGAATTGGATTCAGTGACTGCCAGTCTTTTTGTGTGGCTGGAATATAACATGTAAACCTCAAGAGATTGGAAAATATAATAGCCTGCAAAGCCAACTGCTAATGGAGCACTAGCAGGACCAACTGCTAATGGAGAGGCAACAAGACAGAGAAACAGAGAAAAGCCTAGAAAGACAGTCCTGCCAGCTTTCCAAGTCCTACCCTAGTTTCTGAGGCCTTCCTTCATTTTCATCCTCATTTTTCTTGATATGATGCCCTAACAGCTTAATCGTTCTTGCATAAGGTATTAGGAGTAGGAGTTTGGTTTTTGTACATTATAATAAATGATTATCAATATACAGACTCCTATATGCACTTCCTATTTTGAATCAATCATCAATTTTTTGTCACTATGTTTACATCATAGTGTGTATTAGAATGTCATTACTATAAATTTCAACAACCACAACTCAATAACACCTTTGTTTACTGCACTGTATTAACAACACATCTTCCCATTGAATTCTATCTTCTAAATGATCCCAGATTCTGACATTTCCCTAATGAAGATGGTCTGAACACAAGTGGTTGATTTGGAAGATTACAGATTAGAGCTAGAGCATTCTGGAGATGGGTCCATAGCAAACGTGATATGC